GAACGTGTTAAGAAGCTTCAACTATAGTCTATCGCTAAAGAAAGAGATATTCATCTCTTGAAAAAGAAATCAAAGTGTCAAGAACCCATAATAAATGTTCTTCTCCCAGAACACGAATTGAATCTCGCAACGATTTTCGCAATTTAAGTTAATTCAGATTATTTATATATTCGCATAATCAATATTTAAATGAACTGAAATTGTGTCGTAACGAAAATGAATGTCGATTGAGTACAGGTTGGCATCCCAGCGAAATCCGGAGTGTCAGGAAGCCTCCTGGTAGTGATACCAAACGTGATGGGCATATGCACGTGGTCACCGCCATTGGATCCCCTTGGAAATTCCTGCAGAGGTGTTCAATTCTGCGAGGAACTGGTCTGCGAGTTCAACTTTCATAGGTACGCTTATTCTCTTTCTTTATCGTGCTTGCATCTAGATTGCACTTTTAGTCATTAGGTGTAGAAACTAATTCGGTTTCTGTTGGTTCATTCGATCATTAATTTATTTCCCATCATTTCGTATCGTGAAACTGAAATCCCTCTTGCAACTAAGGGGAGTTTTCATTAATTGTCCAAAGTTCTTCGAATTTTCAATGTTTTTTTTTTTTTTAATTTCTGTCATCGAAACGGTCTTAGCTGGACAAAGCACCGAACTAATTTCTACGCCCAATATTTTTTACACACTAACGATCACGTTGGCCGGGAACAATGTGTTAGCTTTTGCGAATAAGAATAGTGATTATTACCTATACTATAAATACACGAAACGTGTGAATGATAGATACGCACTTATATATATATATATATGTAACGAATTTTCTTGATTATTAATACTACATAAACACCGAGATCGAGGTTTATAGTAACACACATTAATCAAACTGTTTGTTCTCCCTCCTTTGCTTTTCTTCTCACCCCCGCTACACGCAAACTCTGCACGAACATACCGAACCCTGACAAACACGCTCTGCCTATTACTCTCTTCTGTACATCGTCTATGTTCATTGGTATCCCGTCGTTTTCCATCCCGTCCCGATTAGTGTAGCACCTACTATGATCACAGGTACGACAACCTGAAACACGCGACCAACAAGAAGGACCCGAGGAGGCACAAATACGAGACGAAAGGGCTGTCGATCGTTAATCTGTTGTTCAGCGCGGCCAGCGGCGATGTCACCGCGTTGAGAAGGTCAATTATATACCATCATTTGAATCATTTTTTATCCTTAAGTTTAAAGTGCAAGAGAGAACTTTTCGAGAGAAACCGAGAACTTACTTACTTCAGTTTTGATTTAATTTACATGAAATTTATAATTTAAAATATTAAAATGTTCATTTTGCTAAACGTAATTGTATGACGCAAACGAAAACACTTCAACTGTTTTGAAACAGAAAAAGAGAATGGACTTACGTCGTTGCCATTATTAATCCTCCTTCTTCATGTGAGAAGACAATTCTTTTGTTTGAACTGTTGCATTCAGAGTATTCAATATTGCAACAGTTTTCATTTTGTATGCACAGTCAGTCACTGTGAAAATTTATTATGTATACAAGTGAAAAAAGAAAAACAATAATAATACTTATTATGAATATTTGCGTAACGTTAAAGAATTCTGTAAGACTCGAAAAATAAAATGAAGAAATTAATTTGAGTAACTTCACATTCCAATTTTGATACGTAATTTGAATTCTAATATTAGTTGATTAAATATACCACTTTTGTCAAAGCGGTGTAAAGAGTGGGTCTAACGTGCACTAACAATTAAATTATGATTATAATTTCAGGCATCGATTGAGTGGAATGGACATGACACTCTCGGATTACGATGGTAGAACAGCATTGCATTTAGCTGCCAGCGAGGGGCATCTAGATTGTGTCGAATTTTTAATCGAACAGTGTGCAGTTCCTTACAAACCTAAAGACAGGTAACATAAACGTTGTCTCGTCCTTTTTATCTTGTGACCTTTACACCCTTTGTAATAATTTCATCCAAAAATTAAACGCGAAAATTCATTGAAACGCGCTTGGAGAACATTATCCTTTTTTTGATTGAACGAACAGCTGATTTGTTGAATTTTATGAATTTCTTGAATTTCTTGAATTTTATGAGTTTTCTTGAATTTCTTGCCCAGTCTTCAATTTCTAAATTTTTATCAAAATCTAATATCAGAAGACGGCACTTTATGAATATCTTACGAAGGAAATATTTATGTTGCGTTTGAAGATGGGGAAAAAGGCCGGTCGACGAGGCAGAAACATTCGGGCACATGCAAGTGGTGGAATACTTAAACAATTACGCCGTGAGCCAGAAAACGGAAGCGGAGAACAAAGAAAAGAAGAACAATAACAATAACGGGGACGGAGATGAACGAAAAATAGTTGAATCGGCGGCTCAGACACCGTTACCGTAAGATCACGACAGCTTTAGATAGGATATTTTTGATCGACTAATCGATTATACGGGGAAAGATAATGGAGGAACAACGAGATCACAGTGAATCGAATTATTTTCCCACGAGAACATGCTTTGCGGCTGATCTAGCTCGTTTCGACAATTATAATTGAATTTTTGCAGTCTTGTCGCTACCATCGAACAGTATAAATTACATATAAGTTATAGAAATTTCTTTTTTTTTTTGTATCGTAATTAATCTCTGCATTTTTTTTTTTTTTTTTGTAAATGAATGTGTGTATATGTGTATGGATTTTAAAAAAACGTATGAATGATTTTTCTTTAGAAGTATATTTAAAAGTTATGCTTGTATTATTTTTTTTTTTTTTTTTTTTGTAATCAATTCACATGGCATTTTTAGTAACGAAAAATTCGTTCTTTCATGAAGTAGCGAGAGCTTGGATGAAAGAAGTATTGTCAGGGTAATTTTACAGTATTATTCGCGCGATTTAATTCGTACCTACGATAATGAATAATTAAGGGATTCGGTGCAAAAATCATGAAGAATGAGATTGTTATTAAGTCTGGCTAAATCTCTTGAGGTCTGGACAAATTGAAAAAGGACTCACAGATCATTCTCGATAAATTATCGTTAACCCTAATTATCTAATATTATATGTATGAAAAATATTCTCCTGAAATTTCGTCCCGATATTCCACGTGATTAACAATTCAAACATAGCAATAAATTATAGAAAGACTAAAACTAAAACTTTTATCAAAAAGGATTTCATCATCCTCAATTGTAGCTTAATTTACAAGTAATTAAACGTCTTCTTTATGAAAATTTTATTTTTTACAAAAGTCTTAATATCTCGCGATGCTATTATTTATTGTGACGTATTCTTCTTGCACTGAACTCCTTAATTCATGTCTCTTTTTTGTAATATATGTACTTATACATTGGTGCTGTCTGTTGAGGTACTAATTTAGATTTTGAACGACTGTACAAGAGAAGAGACGTGTGTCGATGATAATTTCTCATATAATGAGCATGTCGTTTATTTGTATAATACTCGTTCCTACGTATCCATCGATATAAGAGTATTAACATTGAATATTAAGTGGAAAATATTCCTAATTTACAATTAAGAATTTTAGTATTTCTTGCCCTTTTTATTTTAATTTTCTATAACGTCATGTAACTTCAATATACATAATCCACATATTTATCGTAGATCATATTATTTTCAAAATTTCATTTCATTACACTGTATTTTACATTTCATCAACACACTATTATATTGATTTATTTGTAATAATTGACGTTTTTGATTTGAAACACAAAGAAACTTGTGAAACACAAAAATAAACAAAATTAACCATGAAAAATTACATACACTACCAGCCATAAATATCAGGATACGTAATAAACATATAAGACAAATGAAATAATATATTTATAATAAAATAACTATAAAAACAATTGAAGTTATTTACAACAGTAAAGAGGTAACTGCACTAGTTTCACAAGAGAAGCATTCAAGCGTGAACATATCAAATACAATTTACATACGTACATATATATATGTAACAAAGTTTGTTGCTGTGTTTATTGGTTTAAACATGATAGTACTTAATTTTTGTTGGTTCATTCAAATCATTGGAAAATAGATCAGCCTCTTTATTGGAGCAATCGCTTCAATCATCAGTGTGTAATCAAATTTCTAGCTAGAAATTTGATTGAATTTAACTCGCAGTTATAGATTTAATCCAATTTAATTTCGTTTGCAAACGATTTCTCCTTATCTATAAACAACCGGAATTGTGTATCCTCTGTATCGTACATGTAGATAAAATTATCAAGTCAAGAGAACAGGGATCGTACATTGCTAAACAGCAAACAAAGAGAAGAGATAAGAAATCCCGTACGAGTGATACTTCCCCACATATATTTGGCAAAATGGATTAAGCTTTATAAATTTATCGAAGTTCGAATTGCCGATTAAAGGATGAGTGTTAGCGTCAATTATCCTCGAAATCTGCCTTAAAGTCGGCGAAAGAATGGTGACTGTACAGAGTAAGCAGCGAGGAGCTTACCAAACTATGCTTCGTACGATTCTCCATTGTCTCGCGAGAGAAAAAAATAGGATAAGCGTCGTGGAAGGCAAGGATACCGCTTGATTCGAATCTTTCACCTGAGAAAAGAGAAATTTTCACGTTAGAAATGGGATCCCCCTAGGTAAGAAACATATCGTTCTGAGTGCGTGTTCAAATATGGGAATTTCTTTGCGATTCTTCTGCCAGGTGTATTTTATGCTTACGAAGAAGAATTCGTCACATTTCTTATCTTTTTAGTTTGACCGGGGAGAAGAATTTCAGTTTAGCAGTATCGCAAGTGTTTTGCTTCTAATTTCGAATAAATGTAACCTGAGACCATGAATGTTGAGACTGCTTGTATTTATTTTTTCTACAATTAGCTAGCTAAACTTGGAAATTTCTAACAAGTGTTTTTTTCCTCAAAAAGAGAGAAAGAGAGAGAGAGAGAGAGAAAAGCAAACAGTGTTCTTTCTGAATTCATTCAGAATCGCTGGAAATTCGTGTAGTTGTCATTAATTAATATGTAAGTGTTAAAGTGTTACATGAAAAACTTATATACTCAAAGAGTAGATTAGCAAAGACACGTACAATGAACGTCAATTATTTTCTTCCACAGGAGAAATGGGGAAAAATGAAATGAGTTCGATTAATATAGAGATCAAAAGGAAAAAGAAAGCGGCTAATACTTAAGTGTCGTGTTAAATAGATCTTTCAAAAGTCCTACGTCAATTTCAAGATTTGAAGTTTTAAATGTTTCGAAACGTCCAGTTAATTGACAGTTAATTAATATTACGAATATCCCAACGTAGAACGGTATATTCTTCCAATGTATGAAAGACAATAACGACATATAATGTTGGAAAAAAGCTACTTATCCAAAGCTGATTTTTACTTTCAATTAACAACACTGTATATTCTTGCCAAACTAGTACAAAATACAAGTTATTTTACATAGATATTGATTTAAGTAATCACTTGACTATTGAAAAATTTAATTTTATTTAGATTTAATATTATTTAATTTTATTTAGAACCTCGCGCGCGCGCGCGTGTGTGTGTGTGTGTGTGTGTGTGCGTGACATACGTATATGTATATATCATCATCGAAT